GTTTCTTATTCACTACTAACTACTAGTCTAGTTAGTAGTCCGCAAGAATTTTTTGTTTTTTTTTAACTCTTTGAGGGATGGTGCGACACCTTTTGAGAAGATCAAAATAACTTTTATTTGAACATGATTAATGAGTCATTATTATATTTGGATTCGAATTGTTGACGATATTGAAAAGTTAGATGTATACATCAAGATAAATTGCGAATCTATTTATTGAATTGACATAACTGATGATCAATTGATAGAACTAACCTTGCTAATAGTATTGTAATACGTGAGGTATAGTGAAGAATATTTTTACACATTGAAATAAAATGGATGTGTTCAAGAAGAAGTTGGCATTTTGGACACATATTTCACCCGCACGTAAAAAAAAAGAATGCATAACACTGAAGAAGACTGCAAGAATCTAGCTTTATAATAAATATAATTATCATGAATTAGGATATAATTATGTCATGTTTATGTTCATAGAAACATCATAAACAAAGTAAAATATTGTATTATAAACATTACAACATTAATTTAGATGGACAGAATATGGACAGTCCATAAATTCGAGCGGAAAGTTCTATAAACCATAGTTATTTGTATTAAACTGTAACTAATTTATTATAGGAATAATGTTTATTAGATGAAAATAAACCATAATTAACTAATAAATTACAGGTCAAAGTAAATCAAAATTGAGATAAATTTAAACAAATTAAAAATATTGAATATTATTTAGCAGAACATTTTTTAAAATAAATATTCTGATAACTTCTTTGAGCGCTATTGCTTTAGTATATTTTATATAACAGCTCGAAATTTTGCTTTTAACAAGTCGTTGTGAATTACAATATTGGGGATCATTTATTAAGTTACAGATTTTTAATTGGAGTCATAACTGAATTATATGTGATGGCTTGCAAATAACTTGTTTGTTGTCAGTTAGTAACTTAAAATTCCAATTCCTTTCATTTTTACAAATATTTATTTTGCTTTAATTATCATGGTTTACAGTAAGTATAATTTAAAGGTTACAAGAATTTATTTCCAAAATTGTAAATAAAATTGTAATATAAAGAAATGTTTCATTAATTAAAACAAAAATTAATTGTATATAATATATTATTTGAAAAGTTTATTGAACGATGAACAAATATGGCAGGTTGAGAACGGGTCAATAGTCATTTAAATGACTCCCTGTTGTATATTGTCCATCGGTCAATTCATTGTTTCTATTATTTATTTTGGATGTTGATATGGACGTTGGTTGCTGTTGTCGCTCGAAATTGAATGAACAGCAACCGGCATCCCTTTTGTTGATGCCAAACATATCGCTCACAGGTATAATGTTCTTCCTTGTTGCATAACAATGAATAGAACAAAGGGCATTTTAATTTTATAAAACGATACAGTTGTAATTTATATAGCATCTGACATCTGTATGTGAAACACCGAACGTTGGATGAAGAAAATTAAAGTTATCTTTGTTATTGGCTTAAACTTAGGTTGTTATAAAGAAAACAATTTTCTTCTGTAAAATAACATATTTTGAAACAACTTGTAGATAATAGATGTTATAAAATAATTTACTAACATTATTATCTTTTGCATCTTTTAATCACAAATTGTTTGTTGTTAAGTAAGCAATCTGAAGAGCTATTGACAATTTAAATTTAGAGAAGAAATATGGTATAACAATTTTTAAAAAGAGTTTTATATCAATTTATTATTGATATAAATCTCTTTGGCCCTATTTCTAGCCCTTTCGGGTTTATCGGCCCCCACAAATTTTTGTTTTTGTTACAAACACTTGTGCATACTAAGTTTTTTATGTAGTTACTACCGGTGGCAATCGCAAGCCCGACAACCGAAATCCCGTCTATCGAAATCCCGATATTCGATATCCCGACGTTCGAAATCCCGAGTGCATTGAAATCCCGACGTTCGAAATCCCAACTATATCGAAATCCCGACAATCTAAAACTTAAGATTATTAATTGTTGTTATTTATTGTTAATAACATAAACTAATTTTATTATAGAATATTTCTTATTCTTAAGTTTTATAATGAAAAAGTCAACGAAAAAAAAATACAATAATAATTAATATTATTTATTGTTATTAAGAATAAATAATAACAATTCATAATCGGGCAAAAGGGGTCTTAAAAATATTTTTTTCAGTATCCGTATAGTACAATAATTTAAAAATGTTATTGTAGAAATTATAATAATAAAAGACACTGTCGGGATTTCGATTGTCGTGATTATTGTAGTCAGGATTTTGATATATTCGGGATTTCGATACAGTCGGGATTATGGTAGTCGGGATTTCTATACACTCGGGATTTCGAACGTCGGGCTTTCAATAGACGGTCTTTCGGGCTTGCGATAGAGACCCGTTACTACTAATAACTTAGTAGCTAAATAATAGTAATTGTGGCTTTAAATATATTAATTATAAGAAATTAATAACTAAGTTTAATAAGTTATATGGATCTTCTTCGCGTCTCCACACTCCTCCCTTGGTTTGTGCACTGCAGTTTCATCAGTCTCCACTGAAGTGCTCTTAGAAAAAAAGCACATTCAGGTTACATAAAACATTGGTAATTGGCAATTAATACTGCTGTAGATGTTGAGAATGGTATTTTCATTTCAGCCAATTTGTTCATGAAGTCAGTGGTAGCTCTATGGTGTATCTAAAGCTAAAGAGTGTATGGTCCATAGTTCAGATCTATCCCAGTCGGAATAGCCCATTCTGTGAAGATGGGTTGATACAAGGCTGTGCCCTATTCTGAGTTTAGCAAGGAAAGTAATGTCTTTTCTTTATGAACCAGGTTGTTGGGGAGATGGTTTTAAAGCTGTTATCATATTTCTTTCCCTTCTCTGTTCCTACATTATCCTGCCAATCATCTACTTCCTTCTTCTTTACATTTGGGTATAGGTCAGTATAGTGTGTAAAGGGATTCAACACATTTTGATATATGTACATCTTTCTAATGCCATTGTGCACACAGTTCTTATCTTCATCACCCAGATATTAGTTGTGATGGAGTTTTTATTAAGTCCAATGAGCTGGATGAGTCTGAATATCAATGTTTCTTTCCAAGATCGCCCAGCAGCATGCTCTATATATTCTATACCAGAGGTTCCCAAACTTTTTTGTGTCATAGACCCCTTGCCATGTTTATCTGTTTTGGGTATACACCCTACTTACCTGATATTGATTTTTTGTAAATTTCTAACTGTAGTGAAGTTTAGTGTTAAAATTAAAGTAAAAACACATGTTAAGTTTTATACATTTTTAATTGAATTTAAATTAAAACTACTCAAAATAAAATTTTGTATCTGTTATATAAAATATACGTAACATAAAATAAACTAAGCAANNNATAATAAATTATCAACATTTGGCGTCGTTAGGAGATTGGCAACAGCGCTGAACTCCCTTTCCACTAGATATGACTATGGAAAGTAAATTAAAAATTTCCTCGCTATATTCCATAATTCGCTATATTCCACGTTTTTACAAGTTCAAGATGTATTGCGACCACAAAGCGAATGCCTACATCCAACAACTTACACAATTTTATAAATATATATAATGAAATTTTTACTTCATAGGTACTTTTATAAATAATGTATTTCTCTTTATATTATTAGATAGTATAATGTAAGTAAATAGGTACTATCAGTGTATGTTGAGATCTACTATTGTGGACCCCCATTTTCATTTCATGCACCCCCAAATATTTTTTTCGCTAACGTAGACCACTTGCAGGTTGCCATAGACCCCTGGGGGTCACTGTTCTATACAGTTGTAGGAAGTGGTAGGAAGATTCGTTGATTCGGAAGACGCTATTATTCTCTCGCGTCCGACATTAAAATTTCTGTATACAAAGTTGCCTAAATAGTTATGAACACTAAATTTACCAACGCTTCTTGTATACCATACCAGATCAGAATGGGTCAGAATGAATGAATTAGTAAATGAACAACATCCATAAAATGATTTGTATGACTTAATATTACACAAATATGTGAAAGTTGTACAAAAGTTTAAAAACAGTATTTTCATACATCTGCAACACATGTTACACAATTAAATGTTGCTTTATATAATAAATGCTTATAGGTGGCTATGGTTGTCTGTATCACGAAAATCTGATACGAAAGGTCGGTGGTTCAATTCCGAAAAATCAACAAAAATTTGTGGTGGCTGTTAAACCCGAAAGGGGTAGAAATAGGGCCGGAGTGATTTTTATCAATAAATAAATTGATATAAATCTCTTTTTATTAAAAATGCTTATAGGAATTAAATATTAATCATTAATTTAAATAAAAACATGTAGTAATCTACTATTTATTTCAAATATACTATAAGAAACATAAATTTTCTGAATTAAATACAATATGGTTTTCATATAATAATCTAAACGAATAGCCCAGATCCACTAATGACTCTTAAATATGTAAAATACAATATTAATGTAATGATGTAATAGATAACAAAATGATATAAAAAAAATATTACTATGTATCATTTCTATAAAATGAGATTTCATATATACACGCGTGTAAGTTGGGTTATCGCTGGTTATGCAATGGTAAAAGGGAATCTACGTTATATTACATAATATTGATTATTTGGATTGTACCTATTACAAATGGATATGGCAAAGTAGAAAACATAAGTTTGTATTTATTTGTATGTACATATATAGTATATGCATTACCATTGTGTTAATATTTACAATTTTTGTTAGGCATAAATATTATATAATATTATTCTTCTATAAACATTTATAATTTAAACAATAAAAAGACAACGAACTTGTTAATTAGATGAGGTGATAAACTACTGGCCTATTCCGATAAGGATTAGATCCTATGTATTGATGTATATATATATATAATTATTTTCTTAACCCTCACTATATAATGTTATATAATATATATTAAATAAAATTTACATACACAATTGCTCTTTTAAGTATTAAATATAGATATATGTATTTATATAATTCTCTAAGATACGTCTGGAGTTGATGTATATGACTAGTACATAATAAATGTGTTAATTATATAGATTATTTTAGAATGTAACCATAGAATCCGTGAGTCAGGAATATTTGCCCAATAACAATATCCATGTAAATATAGCCTGATCTCGGGAGTAAATCAATAAGCATAGTATATGAATAGATTAAATAATTACTCGTATAAGGCACCTTTCTTTAGCTATTAGGAATTGGTAACGGGGGAGATTGAAACATCAAAAGCACCATCTTTCTTACAATCTTTCTTTGGTTTAGACCTTGCTTTCCGGACCTGTTGCGAACTGTTTGAATGAGCTCTGTATGTTAGCCACATACAGAGCGCAAATATGGCCGTAGTTTTTGTGGTACCACTCGGGCATTCTTCCTCTAAAATAAAACATCAAATAAATATCGTCATTTCAACGTACTATGTCAGATACATACCTTGTGTCAACTCGGCAGAGGTGGACTAATCTAGATTTACCAGAGCCGCAAGGTTCAATCAGATACCTCGAAGCTAATACTATTCCTCTTACGCTGTTCGGTATGTTGATAGCGTCAGAGTGCTCAACGGAGGTTTCAACGATGAGGCACGCACCTTTCGCAAGATCCGTTCGCCAACTTCGTACAACGCAGTAATCCTTCAAAGGAAGAGGAGGGACATTGCGAAGCGTGTATTGGAACACCTCCGCACACCTATCGATCTGAGCAATGGTTTTTGTTGAATGCAATTCTTCGTCCCATTTGGGTCGTTCCCTTAGGATCCTGTAGAAGACCTCTGCGGGTGGTGCCTCTATGTCGGCGCTGATCTTCCATAATCTCAACGGATGACCGTCCGTCACTTTCTTGTAGGCAATTTCGACCTTCGAATAATGATTGTGCACCATCATCCAACCTTTCTCCTTTACTTCTCTCAGCAACATCTTCTGACACTCGTCCAGGTAACCCCTCCACCCTCCGCATACGCTTCCTAAATCCGATAACATGACTGGGATGCTTTCTTTCATCTCGTTCGATGTGCACTGCTTCAGTATTTCTTTAGGAATCTGTAACATCGGTAATGATAATAGTTGCCTCTCGTAGTAGGAATAATCCACTTACACTAAATAAATTATTGCAGTTCTGTAGAAAATACAGAAGGCAATCCTGCGCCGCTTTGCTTTCGGCCAATTCACGTGGATGCGGTGATCCCAGTCCTTGTCTATTAGATGGTATAATGTTGTAGAAGAACAAAGATGGAGCGAAACAAATCGCCAAGTTGCTCTCATTCATTTGGTTAATAGCGGAATGCTCCGCGATGTTAGTTAAAAATTTAAGTAAAGCCAGCAAAACTTCGCAATGCTCGTCAGGCATTAGTAGAAGGGCACAAAGCACTGCTTGACGCCTTTCCTCATCGGGGACAACTGCAAAATTCAGTTAAAACCAACTTCATCAAACGGAAAATTAATTACTTACATTGAAATATCAACAAGAATGTCTCGGATAACTTATTAGTTAATAATGCTTCGGGTAGATCTCGGAAATATTGCTTGACCATGTCAGCTATATCGTAGGCGTGGTACTCGCTAAAATTGAGGAATTCTCCTTGCGTTTCAATAAGACTCTTCAAATGCTGTATGCGAGATTTTACTCCTGACTTCCTAAACAAGCCAACCTGATCGTAAGAATTTTGCTGCAACCACTGCAGCGCTTCCTCTATTCCCTTTGGTAAAGATGATCCAGTTCTTTGAAGGATTATTGTTAATGGCACGCCAAACACACTCTTATCTGCATTAAGAATTAGGTTCAGATCACATTCAAGTATTTAATAAGCTTTATCCATTACCTTTGTATGCAGGTGTTTTAATTTTTCTTATCAACTTTGGCAGATCCCAATTCCATCCGGTCCTATGCGTAGGACAGTATTTCTCCATGAGTGCAGTCAACTTAAGCAAGGCTAGTTTTCTTAGTACTTGCAGCTGCGTGCATGAAAGTGTCGAGATTGGTCTTCCGCCTTCTTCCAAATCCAGTCGACTCTCATCATCTTCTTCGGTATGGGTGATTGGATTCCATGGTATCCTATACATGAATTATGTAAAAAATTGCTTCAATTATGCGAATTAAGTAATTAATACCTTTCGTGATGAGGGGAATACGACCAACCATCACTCTTGTCCAAAGACCTGCTTTTCTTCTTTTTATCGAGAGTTCCTTCTGAGTTTGAAACTGAAGCCGAAGCACAAGCTGATGCATCAGTGGAACTCATAGAGTTAAAATGTTTTGAGAGAAAATCCAATACATTGGAACCAGATTCGCTCATTACAACCACATCTCGGTTACTTCTGCGATGATGTCTTGTAGATCCCATACGTCTTAAGCGACTTCTAGTAGGTTCCGTAGATATGCCGGAGCATTCAGGCTTCTCGGCTGAAATGCCACTGCTCCATTCCTCTATGTTACCAGCTAATATCAAATAAATCAAATATTCATACATTAAAGTATAAGAAGAGTAAAGTATTCTTACGAATCTCCAAGTTTTGTCCTATGCGAGACCATCGTCTTAGGTCTGATTGATAGGTCCAATTGTAGCTAAGAGCACATTGCTCATCTTCGGAATCATCCGTATGGGTGACACGCTGTTGATGGACACGTGCACATTTGTTGAGAGCGTGAAGCCTTCGGAAAAGGGATTTTAAAACGGAAGGTTCTAGCATCGGGTGATCCAGTTCTGCCGCATTGACGTCCACGGGAAATTGTTGGTCTAGTAATAATAAACATTGCAATTGGTTGTTCAAAGTGCAGAAATGCATGCACCTACCTTCGTACATCTGCGCATATTGAGGAAAGCCTGCGGCCCTTAACCATTTGCACGCTTCTGTTGCTTCGATCTCTGTAATTTAGAGTTAATGATGCAAATCAATTTGATCTATGTACAATAAAAAAAAAGGCTAAATAAATCAAATATAAGCATGGATCTATTCATGCTCATAGGTATACACAAAAATAATAATAATTTGGCCAATAAATTAAAATTTAAATAGTAAAACAATTGGAAAAACGATTAATTTTAGAATTATTTAAAACTTTTACTTTTAATTCAAACTAAATTTAAATTCAACACAAATCTCAAAAATGTAACTGTTTGCATTTGAATTATGTACAATAGAATGCTTATTAATTCAGATGCAATGGAACAAAATAAAGTAAAATAATAAATTGGTAATTTTATTTGGAGTTGAAAATTTGGAGTAAAAGGGATGAAAACTGCTGCACTTATCGAGGGGTTTCGAGACAAACCTGCGATCTTGTGAGCTCGTAATTGTTTCCATAGTTGTTCCGCTTTTCGCACTGGCCAATTATCATTCACTTTAACACTAAGACTACGGAAGAATTTGTATTCTCTGATACGAATGGACATAGTGAAAGTACTCACCAGACAGGTGTCGATCAGACTGCGATCGGGCTTGCTTATTCACCTGAAATGACAGGATAACTTATGCATGATAACTCACCTAAACACTTTTAATACTCAAAGCATCGCATGCATGAATTGATATATTCAAGGATCAGTCTATATTTAAATTAATATAGATCGCAAATATGTATATATATATAATAATAAAAAAATATATAAGTATCGATTTAGTTCATACCTTAGTTGTGGCCTTTTTCAGGACCGGGGCCGAGGAGGATTTCGTTGACAACTCTTGTGGCCAAAAGGGTCGAAGGCCTTGGGAGAAGGGCTCATCCAATTCATCTGCGGACACACAATCTCCGCTGATCTCTTGGTCGATGGGTGTGATGCATGGGGAAGAGCAATCCGACCAGCAGGTCAGATTCGTGGAGCTCTGCGATGGCGACGTCTGGGTACCAGTGGTTGTCGTAGAATTTGATTCGTTGAGGAGTTTGCAGGGCTGAGGATATCATCGATTCGATAAGTTCTGTTTATCTTCATGATTAATTATTTTCAAAATAAATACCAGCTTAATACGAATCTTCTCCGGTGTGTACTCTTCTGCAAATCCGGAATCAGTGTACTCATCGAAGATGGTGTCTTTGGTGGAATAGTCGTTGAAGTTTTGTTCTATCGGCGGACTCCAGGCATTCTCGTCGAAGTACAGATTCTTGGTAGGTCTATCCTGATCGAAGACTTCAGATATCTCATCCTAATAGTCAACAAATAAAAGGAAACCATGAAACGAGTCATAAATAAACCATAAACAAATTGTTAATTTTAGAATGTGATTTAACATTTGTAACTTTTATTTTACTCATACGACTTAAATTTGGAATGTTTCCAAAACATTTGTATCAACAACACTTGTTTCCCAAAACCTATTAAATGTTATTACACAAAAATTACATAAAATATAATTGCACTATAATATAGATTTTAACAACTCTTTATTGTTCTTCTATTTAAATAAGTTCAGATTTTTCTAAATTGTTTAAAATCTATAATTAGATTTGAATTGTGTAACAAATAAACAATTTAGTTTCCATTGCAAATTGCCCATTCTAATTTGTATGAAAAACTACGAAGGAAAGCTTTGGATTTTAATTGCATAACAATTAAATGGTTTAGATGTTTCATTTAACGATTCAATTCCAATCATAATAGTTTTGAATGATTGCATCATTAAAGTTCTGTGATTGAAAGTTCCATGAAATTGGCGAAGGAAAGCTTGCATAATAATTAAGTAGTTAAGATTTTTCAATTAATCTTGGTATGAAAAACTCGGAGGAAAATTGAAAACTGTTGTGTATTATTAACTAGATTTCGGATATTGGGGAATGCATGTACAGTTTGATTAGTTTCAGGTGGACCTTGAAAATAGGTTGTCTGCAAATAAGTAAAGTTTAAATTCGTATATGATAATGAAATGTATAAGCATATTCTGAAAGTCAGTGTGAAGTTTGATGCTGAAATCGAATGGGTGGGTGTAGTTGTTCGACAAATAGAAAAAAAACAAATAATAAAGAATGTTTGCGACATTATTATTCGGATAATCCGGCCTTTCCCTTCTTGAACTTCGCTTCCTTCCATCGTTGTTGTTTTATTCGATTCCGAATGGAGTTTGTAACAATAAGGGAATTCGCTATTTGTCCAGCCGAGATTAGCAGCGAAATACAAGAATCTAATCAGACTGGTGAGTGACAGAAACGCAGGGAGACTCCCCAAGTCCCGGTGCTAATCTGTGTTGACCTCAGGCTTTTGCGTTACCTGGACACAGACGGGGAGGAGTATATTTAAGGAAGTCGGAGACGGCAGCAACCCCCAGTCGATGCAACTCCTTTGTTTGGACAACAAACTATGAAGCACTGCGGAGCAACTCTTTTCCTCGCCTTCGTGGCTTGCACCACCATCGCCCAAGTAAGCCCATTAATCTATTCTATACCATTAAACCAAATATACTCCAACAACAAAAAGAGCAACAACAACAAAAAAAACTAGTCATTGGATGTTTGTGGAACGCTAAGGTGTGAATGCGTCTGGAGATTTTGTAAATATTTACGCTTGGACCGGGGTGGCAAACACCGAACAAAGTGAACCAATGGACAAAAGATTTTGTTTTTTTTTACTTCGTTTCAGATGCAGGAATTCGAGAACCTCTGTCCGCCGAGAGGATTCTGTTTGGGCCATTGCAAGTTCGGAGGATGCGTCAAAAGAGCCGCCAGGCAGGACGATATGGGACCCTTCTGGGCTAACCGCGGCAAAAGGGAGCCGTCCTATTTCAAGGATACGTTCTATGCTGATGAACCTAGGTGGTTGCTGATGCGTCGCGACGAGCCAGAGGAGATAGATCCTTTCTTCACGGCTCGTGGAAAGAAGCATGAAGAAGAGGATGCTAGGCTCAAAGTGAAGAAGTACATCGTCCTTGACGAGTCTCCCTTCATGGCAGCCCGTGGAAAGAAGACCTTTCAGTAAACCGAAGTATTTAACCATTAGGTATATCCATAAATAAACGTATTTAGCGTAGTACAAAAACTAATCATTCCATCAGTTTATTTCAATGAATAAACATGGAAAGAAAACCAAAACTATCTTCATGAGATAAACAAAATTAGTAAAATGAATACAACAGTTATATTTATGAATAAACGTATTTAGTGTACAACCAAATCAAGCAATTTTATTATTTAACTTCCTTCAGTTAAAAAGAAAATATTCGAATAATCTAACAATTAAGGTAAGTACAGAAAACTTTAGTTATTTATATTCAAAGATCTTTAAGTAAAAAAAAAACAAAAATAAAATTTTCAAAAAGTATATAAAACAAATATTCAACTAATAAATACATCTATAAATAAATTGTTGATTTTCATAGAAAATCCTTGAGTAGAAAAGCCATCAGTAAAAAAAGAAAATGAAAAGGAAACTGTTCCGTTGCAATTCCCAACCTCAAGGTAACTTCGAATTTGTTATCGCGGATACATGTATAAATATTTGCTTTATTTCACACTCTACATGTCCTAATCTCATGTACGTAAGTCAGCAAATAGGATGTAGGTAGGTAGGCTGACTGCGTATAATTTCGGTGAAATCGAGCATTCCAAAGGAAACGAAGGTAAGCTGAGTAATTACATCACATAAATATTTTGCAGGTGCTTCGGAATACACTTCATTTGCACGGTAAGTTTACTGCGTTCATGAGTCGATCATAATAACCGACATGTACGCATTACAACTAGTAAAACTATTGTTTTTTATTTGTTTTGTAGTTTCGTTATATTATCATGTTTTTTTCTCTTTCATGACTAATTCTTAATTAATACAACGAGATATATTATTTCTTCTGACATAATACATTTTTGATAACAATAAATGATATTTCTTATCAAATTTACTGTACTTAATACAAAAGCCTCTTGTATGTATATTCGCTTGCAATTTTATAGAAACACAGAAATTCATTCATTTTCATACAACAAATGTAATTCATTCGAGATTCTAATTATTTTATTATCAATATTACTAATTTGAATATTTTGAAAAAATTATCAAATGTAGCAATTAAATGTTTAGATAAATTACTAAGAATTTCTGTAAGACATTATAAATTTAAAAAAATGTAGAGAAGAAATTTTTACAAAAAAAAAATATGTTGAAATAATAAAACAATATGCATTGAGGATGGTACTTGAATAGGTGATAATAGTTGTTAAATATTTTTTTAAATAAACAAATTTGTTTAATGTCATTTTTAATGATGGATGATGATTGAAACCTTTTAAGAAATAACGTAATTTTATATATGAGTAATGCATAAATGGGGTTAAGTAATGAACAGTTTACAAATATTTCGTTATTTTCCCGTTTTACTATTAACTTTATGTTTTTTTTTTGTTTTTCTAATTTACGTTCCTCAAGTTATTGATTATATATTCTCTAATATTTTTAAGGAATGTCACTACTATATTCTCTATTTTCCTTAATAATATATGCTTACCAAATTATTTACTTTTTACAGTGAACACGATTCTTCCTCATGTCGCACCTGTTAAAATGTTACTCATTGTAGATTTTCTTCATATATGCATATTGATTACATAATTTGAAGTATTATTAAACTGTGTATAAAATGTACTCACCATCATGTGAAACTCTCGAAACTAATTAATTAATTAATGTTTTTGTACAAAAAAAATCCGACACTTAAGTAAATTTAACCAACCGAATATGGTCTTGGTTTTTATTGCCATGTGTACCGTAGCTCTGTAACCACTGAAGTGAATTACCCAACAACAAACAGTGGTATTTATCAGCAAATCCGCGTTATTAATATTTCATGTTGTTTATGTTTATTATTTTTTTGATATCAAATTCAAAAAGACATTATTTCTAATGTTCTCTTATTTCTGAAATAAAATAGAACTGTTTACTAGTTCATTACATTAAGATACGAAATTCGCTCAGAAAAACGTTTAAAATGAGGATATCAATTTGCGTTTTCTACAACGATAAGATAATGATATGACTAATATTAAGATGTTGGCAATAATATCAAGCTGTACTAAATATGTGAGTATTTTGTTCTAAGCTAAGTAAAATATTTTCATTACCTTGTCATTATCTCAGACATCAATGAAGAGAACACATAACAGAAATTCGAAATTATTTTGCAAAACACGAGACTTTAATATACTTGTTTTCATTATTACATTTATGCACAATGCTTAAAATAGAAACATAAATGTTTTATTATATACTTGATTCTGCTTTCGCAGCTTTTTACGAATTTCACATTTAAACGTTTTATTATGAAAATAATCAAAGAAAAAAAATTAGTTTGTTTTCATGTTTAATTTAAGCAAATAAAATATTTTGTTATTTATAAAATATTGAATTTTAAACAATTTGGTAATTTTAAATTAAGTGACGGTCAAAAAACATGATCAAAATAAACGTACATTATAATTTATATTAATTTTTCAAGGTCTAATTTTCAACTTTATGCTATTTATGTTGTAGCTTTTAAAGTTTTTGTAAAGAATAAAGCAGCTATATCCGCGGGTCGTTCTCAAATGTTTAAATTGATTCTACATCTATCAATCAATAGCATGGTAGCGCATACATTGTACAAGAGTGTGGTTTCATCATGATACTAGGATTCAAAGGGTTATATAGGATTTTATAAGAAATTAAGCATGCGTGTTATCCACATTTAGCGGTAGTTTTTTTTGCAACATATTTTTTTGTTCATAGTTGTTTCTCCGTAAAGAATGGATGCTGTTCATCTTTTATTTTGCGTGCATTGGAATTGCTGCGCTTCGTTCGCTCGCACATTTTAATTGACTGAACAGCTTTCTACCATTACTTATTGGAAACTGAATTTCAAACGGGGCAATTCTAGAGCTAATGTAGATCTCGGATACGGAAATCCACTTAAGGAAACTAAGACATCAGCCGGCTTTACCGATTTCAACTCTGCTCCATAAGAGCGATATAACTACAAACTTCGATACTTTCTGAACGTTCTTCACTAAAGTTATAAGTATTTTTTTTTATAGATTTTAAGTTTATAAACTTAAACTTAGACGATTTTATATAATAATTTCATAGGTTTAATTATTATAAGAAAAAATATTTCTTCACAAATAAATACAATTCCTTTTAAAGTTATTTTTTCTTAAATAAATTATGTTTAAAAACAAAATTATTAATATTGAAAGCCTTGTGTTTTTTTATTTAAGCATTAAGCATTTTAACAAAAGACTTCTTGTATTTTGAACTGTATTACTTGATAGAATTCGAAGAGCAATTAAAGATATTTATGACATTAATCTTAAATTCATCTACTTAATCAAATCGATAATAATAATAACAGATAAATAATGTTCTTTCAAGAGTAGTTTTATTGTAATTGCTGGCAAATACAGTTATGTCTTTTACTCCACGAATGTGTCCAGAGGTTATTTTCTAACGAGATAAACGGATAATTAATTAATCACATGGAGATAGAAGCGGTTTTCCTGGAAAGCAGCAATCAAATCTATTAATAAAATTAATATGATTGTCATGGTTTCCAGTGAGTAGTTAGCGAAAAATAAAAAGTCGCCAGCAGCAATCGATGCACTAAAAAAGTGAAATCGCCGTGAAAGAGAGAGCATGAACGCAAGGAAGGAAGAAGGAAAGAATGAAATGAAGAACGAAAAAGGAAAGAAGAAACGAATTATCGTGCACGGGCGAATGATGTAATTGCGAAGCGTTCGCAACATAAATGCAACGTACTCGTAATGCAATTACAGAACGATTAATTTTCTTTGTAAGAAATATTTTATTGCTAAGAATTATTTTGTTACCAAGAATTTTATTATAAAAGAATAACGTTAAGGAATTGGTAGATTTTAAACACACAGTATTTATTGGATTGGACAGTTTCGCAAACAACTTAGGCGACAAGGTGATAAGAATAATTTTGAGCAAACTCTTTATGCATCAAGAAATTAATGGATTTATTGAAGGATATTTTGTATTTATTGAAAAACTCCGTTAATTAGAATTATTTGTGCAAATATTTTGAGCGACTAATTATATTATTTAAAGAAAATATAGAAGTGGACAAAGAAAATCTGTTCTGTTTGCGCAAACTGCAACAGAAGGCCGATTAATAAGTATATATTAATGTGCGCAACCTGAGGAAATGCACGTCTTAGAATTCATTCGACATAATTCTAACATGAATCACTGTTTCGGTTTCAGTTATTTACGAATTGCATGAATGGATTAAATCGAGCCTGCAGCGAATAAACAATTTCGTTAATCTTTTAAACGGATCGCAGTGTCCTTGAGGATCAGGAATTGAACACTCCTGTGGATCATCGACTTCGTTCGGATAACACTAATCATTACATCGAATTAATTATTTTATTTATCTCAAAAAGATAAATCAGCTTATGTCCGCATGTGCATTTCAATTACATGATGTTTTATTCGTGATTTCATTGATACACTTATAGTCAAATATTTCTGTATTTGAAATTGTAGTAAATTTAGTATTGTTACGAAATTACATAATTAGGCAACATTTTCAAAAAATACATGAACATTAATTCATAACAAAACTTTTCGTACATGGATTTTCCCCTTTGAACATAATTTTGTATCAATTAATAAATATTTATTTGTTGATTTTAATTTATATTTATTGACATGAACTGGCCTCTAAATATATTTTTTCCTTGTTAAAGAAAAAGTTAAATGAAAGTTTTAAACGAAACTAATTATTTTTTCAAAATTAAAAAAAATTGTCTTATTTGTCCTATTTGTAATTAATCAGTTGTAAATAGTAAATAGAAAAAATAAGATTTCCATTTTCGATAGTATTAAACTTTCTATCTATCCATTTGCGTTGAAATTGATTGGACAAACATGAGCTTATAAATAAGAAAAACTTGCTTCAATGTAGACACACTGACATACGCTGTTTACATTTACAATTAAGCAACTATGAATGGCATAATCAACATCCATCCATTCCATAACGCTGCTCACGATAATCGGATACGCAATTCCACGATGTTATGCATGAGAGCAACAAGAACAAGTCCGGTGTGCATATGGTTATTTGGTAATTAGAGCTCCAATGGAGCGAACGAAAATTGTGAACGAG